AACCTGTGGCAGTCTCTCCCCCAGAGAACAAGATGGGGGGGTCACTAGAGATAGTCAGGGTGGATTCGAGAAGTTTCTGATCGATGAGGAGGGGGCTGAGGGCTATTGGAGGGGATTAGGGGAGACAGGAAAGTGGGGTTCAGGTCACTATGGGATCAGGCGTGGTCATATCAAACATAGGAACGCCTGGAGTGGCCGAATGGCCTCCTCTTGCTTCTATGACATTCCAAAAGTGAGGGGACCAAAACCCCACCAATTCCCAAACCCCGACACGCCCCATGAGGCTCAGCTCCTGCCCTGATGTCAACGTGGGAAGCTCATCTCCACCACCTTGGGCGTCCCTCCGTGTGGGAAACACAATGGTCAAGACAGCCATTTTGAGAAGGTCACGTTGATGGGCGGAGGGCGAATAGGGCATTTGGTTGGAGTCTTTGGGATGGGACTCCAAAGGGAGGAGTTAATTACCGGACCCCTAGGCTCTCGCCAGACACACACACACCCTCCCCCTTCAACGACCCCCACCCTGGCGGCCATACTTACAGACACCATCTTGCCCTCGGACGGCATGAAGGCAGGTCTGTTACTGAGCCGCAGTTTGGTCTGCAGCGTGTTGAAGTTAATCTCCAGCTGGCATTTCTCCTGCACACGGGGTGGTTTGTGAACCCTCCGGTAATCCCGGAAATCCTCCAGTTTCTGCTGCATCGCCCTCATCGTCTTCTCCGGGATCCGGTTCTCCAGCCAAGGGATCGTGCGACGGATCCATTCCAGCAGCTGCACAGGGAGAGAGAAGTGGAGAGAGAGAGAGAGATATGAGAGGGAGGCATCTGAGAGGGACTGACTGTCTTCCTCCTGACCAACAGAATTGATGAGCAGGCCTGAATGGCCTCCTTCTGTTCCTGTGTGACAGGCTTGAAGAGAGGGCTGAATGGCCTCCTCCTGTGGGACAGGCTGTAGGAGGTGGCTGAATGGCCTCCTCCTGTTCGTGTGTAATGGGCTGGAAGAGGGGCCTGAATGGCCTCCTCCTGTGGGAAAGGCTTAAGGACAGGGCTCAATGGCCTCCCTGTGTTCTTATGGGACAGGCTGGAGGAGAATGGATGTTGGGTTTCGGTTTGGATTTCTAGGGAGTTACCAGGGACCGCCTCCCTCCCTCGAGGAAACGTCCCTCCCTCCATTGAGGAAATCTTCCTCCCTCCATTGAGGAAACCTCCCTCAGTCGAGGAAACCTCCCACCCTCGAGGAAACCTCCCTCAGTCGAGGAAACCTCCTACCTTCGAGGAAACCTCCCTCAGTTGAGGAAACCTCCGACCCTCTAAGTAAACCTCCCCCAGTCGAGGAAACCTCCCACCCTCGAGGAAACATCCCTCCATCAAGGAAACCTCCCTTCCCCGAGAAAATCTCCCACCATCGAGGATATCTCCCTCCCTCCATGGAGGAAATCTTCCTCCCTCCATTGAGGAAACCTCCCTCCCTCCCTTGAGGAAACTTCCCTCCCTCCATTGAGGAAAACTTCCTCCCTCTGTCAAGGAAACCTCCCTCCATTGAGGAAACCTCCCTCCCTCCATCAAGGAAACCTCCCTCCCTCGAGGGTACCTACCTCACTCGCCAGCTTCTCGTACTCCTCCATGAGTTTCTCATTCTCTTGGTTGACTGCGAGCACTTTGCAGATTCGATTGGCCGCAGTCTCAGCCTAGACAGAGAGAACAAACCCAGAGCCTGGATTATCGACTACGGAAGGCCTTGTTTCCCCTTCCCACGCAACACAGACCCCTAGGCCAACCCCTCGCCTCACACCTCCCCACTGCTCCTCGCGTGGAGGTGACCCACTCCATGATGAAAGACGTCAGGTTCCCAGGAATCTCCCGGACGGAAAAGGGATGGAATTATCCAGAATCAGTTCCCATGTTGGATTCAAGGCGTGGGCACTGTTGGAGGGTTGGTGCTGAGGGAGTGGGCACTGAGGGTCAGTGCTGAGGGAGCGGGCACTGTCGGAGGGTCGGTGCTGAGGGAGCGG